CCGAAGAAAGCCCTTCTTCAAAGAGCATTTGAATGGGTTCCGCCGATAAGTCCCACCCCAATCTGTGAACAAGCATGGTGAACTCAGTCCAGTACTCACGGACAGATCGGCTCCCCTGTTTGCAAGCCATTAACTGTCTGCGCACCACTCCCTTTTCAATATCGCTGGAAAACATCCGATCCATGGCGCGAAAGAACTTCATCGTGTCCTTTAGGACGTCACTATTCGCTGCCATCAAGGGTCTAACCCAGTCTCTCGCCCCCTTTTCAAGATGCTCAATCACGAAAGCCACTCGTGATTCCTCGTCAGGGAATTCATCAAACTGCAGATTGAGGGCATATTGCATTTCTGTCCGAAAGCCATGATAGTTGTTGGGCTCCCCCCCCAACCTTCTGCACCAATCCTGGTACCTTTCTGGCGAGCTGGGTGGCTTTCCCCTTTTTGTCTGCATCCTGCGCCCTCCTCTCCTCAAGCCTCGCCGTCTGCATCGCTAGCTGGACCTCCAACACCCGGTACCTTTCTTCCAGGCTTGGACCCGCTCCAGCTCCTGCTTCTCCGGTTCCGGCTGGGTTGCTCATGATGCCTTCTCCTGCACAAGCTGCTTTCAAAGACTGTCGGAATGCTGTGATGAGATGATGAGCTGCTTGTGCGTAAAATCGTATCCCCTCAGAGTTTGTTCAAGTGCACAAACCTCTGTCTGTGACTGAGCCCCTCAGACATGGCTCCTCTAGTCACTAGCAGATTCCGACAGTGGTTGCTTTCGTAATCGCTTCCAACATAAAAGCTCCTTAACGGAAACACGTCTTCTGGACTCTCTGCGTGACAGTTTCCGGCGAGGAGTGGGTGTTCTTACAGGAGGTCCTGAAACCTCTCCACTGTTTTCGCTGGAAGTGTCTCTGAGCCATCCCTCCAGCTCAGCTCCTCTCCCCTGCTGGTTCCCTCTTCAGCTGCTGCGTCTCTCCCAACCTGTGTGAGCCCTTTCACCTCCCTGTTGGTTCCCTCTTCAGCTGCTGCGTCTCTCCCAACCTGTGTGAGCCCTTTCACCTCCCTTCCGTCCGATGGCAGTTCCCTGACAGATGCCTTCCTCTGAGAGGCCCACAGTAGCATGGCCCTTGATTTTACACACCCTCCAATATTTCTCTGATGAAAACAGGGACATCCAAAAGGAAACCTAGGGCATTCCAGGGTCAAATCAGAAACCAAGACAGCTTTTGTCTTCCAACACTGCCCTGGAACACTTGGAGGGTCTGTTTTTATTGCAAATAAGTAGTAGTAGTAACAATCATCATCACCATCATTGCTGGCAGCTGGAAAAGTGAGGCCAAGTTCAAAGAAACTACTGGAATACTTCCCTTGGGCAGATGAAGTGGACCTGGTGAGGACTGGGCCCTTTTCCAACTATGTTGCAGCAAAATCTGGACTTTATTATGCGTGGGGGGATGAAATAGGGGGGCAGAGGGAGAGCAGCCTTATTCTTTAGGAGGAATTTAGCAGCTCTCAATCCAGCTCAGGTAGCCCTGCCTGGCTCGGGGGCAGATTGTGTTGTCTGCCTCACAAAGGCGCTGATGCTATCTGGCCATGTTTGGGGAAGCAAGCCTTGAAGTGGGATTTCTTTTTAATAGGAAAAGGAGGCAGGCCTTTTCTGCCACGGAATGCAAAACGCGCCGTCTCCTCGATATCATCCACAAGTTATTAAAAGATAACAAGAGCTACAAAGAGTCAATGGGAAATTATTTCAGGTACGCGCCACGCAGAGAGGAAATCACAGCCGGTAAAATACAGTAGATTATTGTGGGGCGGGATTTAGAGATGATGAATGCCCGGGACAGGCACCGGCCCAGGATTTCGATTCCTGCAAATATAACGTACATGGATATTTTGCCTTTATAGATTCTTGATGCTTAACCTACTCAATGCTTTTATTTGCATTGATCACACTTTATGGTATGATTAAATTTGTATGGAATGGAACCAATTACTTTTGTTTTACATTTATTGAATGTACTTTACGGGGAGACAAATTAACTTGCAGCAGTTAGTTTGATTAATCTGACACTGTGAAGCTTGACAGTCTGGGCTCTCAAGCAGCTTTTCAAGAATCTGCTTTTCTTGTTTTTTCCTTGCTGGGAAGAAGCACCCGGACCTCACCTCATCACACTGGCCAGGGGCTTCTGCAGTCCCTTCTTACCCTGAGGGGAGGGAGAAGAAGCAAGAACAGCCTTTAGTAAACAAATTCCCTTCTCCGTTCCATTGCAACTTTTCTTCAGTCAATGCTTTATTGTTGTGATAATCTTATGTAAACTCCTTTGCAAGGTCTGCCTGGAAATCAGGATATCAATGCCATAAATAAATAATAATCAAGTAAAAACAACCAGGCATGCTCTGAACTGGGAAACATTTGACCCACAAGTCCCTACAGAGCTAGGCCTGTTTTGCCAGCACTAAGATGAGGCAATATGGTACCATCCAGATGATATTGTACATCAATTTCCGGCCAGAAGAGCCAACGGAATCAAGGATCAGGGGGATAGCAATGTAAGAAGCTGCCTTATAATGAATCAAACTGGTAGTTCATCAGGCCCTGAATTGACCTCACTGACCAATGCACCTGGCCTTGGAGACTTGAGAGGTATCATTTTAGGACCCACCTTATTTCTGCAATTGTAGGTTGTTTAAAACTACTTTAACATTGTGTTTTAATTGTTGTGGCCCTCCCTGGGACCTTAAGGTGAAGGGCAGGTAATTAATAATAACCAGAACAACAATAGTAGCACAATAATATGCAATTCTCTACCCATAACCTGACTGGAGAACTACATTGCAAAATTCAGAGAAGTGTAAATTTCCAAGGATGATTCTTGGTTTCAGTTTGCATCTTGCAGAACTGGCAAGTTTGCCTTCAGATGCACCCACTCCCATCCCCATGGTAAGAGTCCCAGGCTGCCCTCCTCTTTCGGCAGCAAGTGGCCTCCCCATACCAGTTGCCTTTCAGAACAGGCTGCAATGGCAGCACACCAGGAGGGATCCCTCCCCAATCCTGCAGCAGCCCCACATGCAACCTTTATGTGATCATAGCACCCAGGACTGAGCCAGAAGGAGGAAAGGCTTTGTGTCCAGCAGCTGGACACACAGAGAGTCTTAGCACCAAGAAAACTGGAAATGAGTAGTAGGGAAAGAGGGATCTCCAGCAAGATAGAATGAGAAAGGCTCTTGTGACCTATGGGGTTCAACCCTCAAGCAAAGGCAGCAGATCCAGCTCCCAAAGAGGCAAGAGCCAATGGGACAGCAACCCCACCCCCAAGTTGGGTCAAAGCAGGTAATAGGGTGCAGTGGATGCAGAGTTACTCAGTAGCCCAATAGCCAGGGTATCCGGGTTCAGAACTATCCATTGAGTAACCAAAGCAAGTCCAGACAGGGACACAACTTCACTCATAGATGTATGAGAAATTAAGGGTTCATCCACACTTCCAAGGAAACTGCAGGGTTGTGGGTTCGAGACCCACATTTGGCAAAAGATTCCTGCCTTGCAGGGGTCAGACTAGATGACCCTCGTGGTCCCTTTCAACTCTACAATTCTAGATCTAGAGGCACAGGGCAGGTGGAAGTGTGGACATTCCCTAAGGCTTCGTCCACATTTACTCTGCGTCCAGTGCACTCCCACTGCTGGTTTGGGAAGCATGGTGCACCCAATGTCCGCCGCACTCATTTCTTACGAAATACTGAATGTTGATGTGTTTTCCTCCAAACCAGCTTCAGTCCAAATTGAGAAAAAAGAATGGCCTCACTGTGTTTTAAGCTTGCCATTGTGTACACAGCCTAATAACTGACAACTCTCCTGCCTGGAGAGGTCATTCCTCAAGAGGAAGTACAAGAGAAATTTAATAAATAAACAGGCCAGCTGGATGCCGCCTCTTCTTCAAAGAGATCTCTTCCCCTCCTGTCTGCTGGCCTTTTCTCCTCCTCAGTGGGGGGGGGGGGGGAGTTGTAATGCTTCGGTGGTTTTAAAAGAAAGGAACCACGTGGGCTTTGTGAGATTTTAGAGAGTGGAGGCAAAGGAAGATCTGCTAACAAGATGAATGTCATTTCAGGCCGATAAAAAAAAAAGCCAAGGCTCCCCGGCTGTCAGGGCCTCCGTTTCAACCTTTATGTTTACAAACCAAAAAGGGCAATTAGGTGTGGGAGAATAAATCTTCCTGAGCCTTTGCCGTTGGTCTTGCGAGGTTCATGCTCGACCTGCTGAGTGACAGGCAGCATTAGAGCCTTCCTCAGCAGCCGTGCCAGCTGCACGCGAAGGGGCCTCTGACATTTCTTCTCTCTGGCTGCCACTGGAGCCTAATCAAGACGTTTCCAAGAGCCCAGCCCAGCCATCCTGCCTTGCCCTCCCTCCTCCCCTGCACTCCTGGTTCATTGCCAGAATCCACAATGCCTTGCATCGTCAACCCTGGGGTGCAAAGGAAAGAAACAGACAGATCTCTGGGCCAGCAGAGAAAGTAGAGCCCGGCCAGAGCCCCTGGGGTTCTCCAGACCCAGATATACAGCCCTGAGCAAAGAGGAAGATGCAGCAGAAGGGCTACCTGTGCCAGACAGATGACATGGGGGGGGGAGAGGTATATGCCACAGTTTGCCAAACCACCCCATAGATTTCGCAGAAATAAACTGAAAGAACTGCCTCACTAAGGTCCATCGCTCCAGCAGCAGCAAATGGCTAGGTGCCTTTTGAAAAGCTACTGAAAGGTAGACTTCCTTTAAACATGGAGGCTCCTCTTAATTCTATCAGTGGTTATTGGCCATGAGAGCTGCCAAAGGATCCCACAAATACAGGCTTCCTTGGAGGCCACCCAGTCCAGCTTCTGCTCAAGGAAAGAAATCCAGATAGCAAAACCATCCATTTTCATCCCCCCACCAACAGCTGCTGCTTGAAGACCTCCAGGGGGGCAAGTCCACCCACCCCTCTAGGCCATGGACTCCATTGTCAAACTGCCTTCACCATACAATGAAGAGCTGCAGCAGCTCAGTGGTATAGAGCACCTGCCTGGCATGCAGAAAGTCCCAGGTTAAATCCCCAGCTGCATCTCTAGGCAGAGTTGGGAATGTTCCCTGCCTGAAACACTGCTGCCAGTTAGTGTAGAGACTAAACCCATGATCTGGGTCAGGATAAGGCAACTTGTTTCCCTAACAAGGGGTGCCAACATGCATTTACCCAGTTTGCTAACAAAATTATTATTATGAGTTTGGGAGGGTCAGTCTGGATCATGCCCTGAGTCCTTTCCAATTCTTATGTGTGAGGAAGTGGAAAGCAGACTGGAAGCTGGAGACATAGATACATGCTTGCTCTGTGGTGGATCCAAAGCGGCAACTAATGGGGAAGCAAGATCTGTTGGGGTGTCAATGCTGTGAGCCCCTCCACCCTATGTTCAGGTTGTATATAAGTGTAAATAAAACCATATATCCTAAAGACACCACCGTCTTTGCTTCATTCCAAGGAAATTGAACTCCGGGCAAGGGGTGGAATCCCCGGAATCTCTCACCACTCAGAGATTGGGGTGACGAACTATGTCAAATGCTTTGCTGGAGACAAGAGAAATTACACCCAAAGCATTCCCACAATCCACTAAACTAGTAGCTAACAACAAAAGTGATAAGTCAGACAGGATTTATTCTTGACCAATCAATCCAATATTTGCCCAGCTCCGGTCCTGTGGCACCTCATCCATTTCCCAGAACTTTTCACCCATTATCCGGGATCATCTTCCATGAATTTCTCCAATTCTTTTCCTTTAAGCTCCCTAACCTATTGGTTCCCTAAACCACAGAAGCAGCACAAGGGAGCGCTCAAATGTCACTACTTTATTGAACAAGGGCAGAGAATGATTTACTTCAATAAATGCAAAGAAGTGAGACGGATGACCCCAACTGATAAACCCAGAGCCTGTATGAACTCTGAGTGCTTTGAGGCCCAGATAAGCAACTTTAGTCCAAAGGGGATGTGAGTGGCAAAGACAGCAGAAGCATCTCTTGACATGTGATGGTCACATCAGAAGCGGAAAATAGAAAGGTCTAACTTTAAGGGCAAAAGTGGTGCTGAAACCTCCTAACAGTCACCAATAGGTTAGGGACCTTAAAGGAAAAGAATTGGAGAAATTTATGGAAGATGATCGCAGATAATGGTAGATATATAGCTCCCATATATCACAAGCACACACATATATTAATCATGCAGTGGCTCCTAACCCTGATGTTCTACCTTCACAATTGGAGGCAGTCTTGTTTTTGAATGCCACTTGTCAGGAACCACAAGATGGGAGAGGGCTCTTGTGCTCTGGTCCTGCTTGCCAGTTCCCCACTAGGACATCTGGTTGGCCACTGTAAGGATAGGATGCTGGACTAGATGGGCCCCCTGTGGCCTGATCCAGCAGGCTCTACTTGTAGAAACCACAGAAAGAAGGGTGCTCTTGTCTTGAGGTCTTGCTTGTGAGCTTCCCATTGGAGGCATCTGGTTGACCATGGTGAGAAGAGGGCTAGGTGGGCCCCTTTTGGCCTGGACCAGCAGGCTCTTCTGTATGCTCTTCTATAGGTATAAATTTATAAAGGACAAGCATCAAGGCTCATAGAACAGTGCAGAGGAAGTATGTACAGTTCATAAAGGGAAACTCAAGGCGGGTACATCAAAGAGCAGGAAACTAATAGGGTTAGACAATGTGGTTAGGCTTAGAACGTTGGTATGAAAACATGACAAGTGGTGAGGGCACTTGATGGTGGGGGGAGGATGTGGTGAGATTAATGGGAAGTGAAAAAGGAATGAGGGGTGTCTGAAAGAGATGCAGTTTTGGAAGAGAGTCAGTTTGGCACCAAGGCCAATAACCAGAAGACTCTCCATTGGCCAATTCTACAAGCAGGGAAGAGAAGAAAAGGGAATCATAGAAACATAGAACCGTAACATTGGAAGTGACACCAAGGGTCACCTGGTCCAACCCCCACAATACAAGAATCACAGCTAAACAATCACAGACAAATGACCAGCGGTTGTGTAACTCTATCCGTCTATATTTCCTCTAGAGGTCCATCATTTTCTTGTTTTGTTCACAAGATCTGTGGGCTTCTATTCTTAAAGCTGCCAGTACTGTTCAATTCAGAGGTTGAGTGAAATATCTAGGACTCATCAGTCATGGGGCCTGTGCCTGTTTGAGAGCCTCTGGAATGCAATATGTCTAAAATCAACTCCAAGTCACCCGGGTCATTTCTTTCCCTTTCACTTTAATACTGGAAGTGAGCCTAATTGAGAGGGAAGAACAGGGCCTGGGCTGGAAGAGCTGTGAAGAGAGAAGCAGTGCCAGCCATTCTCCCCAAGAGCTTTTAAAATCTTAGCCTTCCCCTTGTGATAGAGAGAGGTCCAAGTTTAAACTCATTGCTCCAACAGAATAGCCAGCCAGCAAAGTGACAAAGACCATGTCTCCATGGGGGAAATGCCCACAGAGCGTGCCCATGTGGCTCCCCAGAAATTGCCTTTTATGAATTGGAGCTGCAGGGAGACATGTCCCTTTCACAGCTCCCTGCCCCTGGCAAATAGAAGAGTTCTGCCTGGTGCTGAGCCTCAGAAACTGAAACACAATCCCAGCCAGTTACAGCCCAACCCATATTGAAAGGAGGAGCAGTCAACAAAGAAATGCCTTTGCTGCTGGATTTGAAGACCTGCCAGGCTTGTCAACAATTGCTCCTTCAATACTGAAATATGGCAGCGTGCTGCTGAAAAGTTGAATTGTGGCCCCTTAATCTGGCAGCTATGGGCACCACAGCCCCAAACCAGGCTCTCTCTTCCTCTCCACCTGCCTTTCCCAGTTCTGTTTCTTTGGATCGTATTCCGTTCTAGGAAGGGTTGGGGGGCACTATGACTTTTGCCCCTTCCCTTCTCTCTTCCCTGCTTTGCAGCCCAATGGAAAATTGCAGCTGCTCCAGAGCTGCTTCCATCTGCTGTTGCTTCGGGCGAACAAAACTACGCAATATGGTTGGCTGTTTATCTTTCATATTTGCAAAGTCTCCCTGACACTGTGCAGACAGTGCGTGGAGAACTACAAGAGGAAGGAGTCTCCTGAGAAGGGCAATCTGAGGCAGGGACTCAGAAGCAAGTTTTGTAGCAAAGCTTCCTCACAGGCCCACGTGTCAAGGATTGCAGCCAACAGCCATGCAGAACCACCACAGCAACACTGGCCTTGCCTTTCAGCTCAAGCTGCCATTAAAAGGCTGTCCCAAAAGGAGTCAGTTGGAGGCAACCTGCACATAGCCTGCAAGGGAGAGGGGGTTGCATTCAGTGTGTTGCTGAAATGATGACAGCATCCAGGGCCCCTCTTGGTTTGTTGATGGGCATAAATGAGTGGGGCAGACAAAATGCAAGCAGCTGACTCAGAAGCAGAGAGTCCGTGGAGCACCAGCTGCCTGAAGAATTACTCCGGTGTTTACAGGAAAGCTTGTGAATCCATTTTCGATTTTTAAAAATGAGAAGTTGATTCACATTGCAACAAGTCATAATCAGGTTTCTGTATGTGATACAGGAGATAAAGGCAGACAACAAATGCTGGTATTTGTTCAGGTGAGATTGCATACTAATGAGCCGCTTCTCTCAGATTCAGCCAAAAAGGAAGAGTGTGCCAGTAACCAGAATTAAATTCAAAGGGTAAAATAAATCTCTGAAAGACAAATGGGCAACAGCCAGTGTTATTTCAGGAAATGGTGGACAACTGAGGAAGTAGGATCCAGTCCCCGCCTTGTAGCCAAGACCAGGGCAGGCAAGAAGCAGTCTCCTCCATCCCCTTAGCTCCTTCAGGGCACAGGGCAACAGGATGGGCTTAGATAGTCCAGCACAAGCACCACTGGTGCTTCCAGCCCCCAGCCCCCTAGACCCATGTCTCCTTCCCAAAGCCCTCAAGCAGGGTGACATATTGCCAAGGTCTGCCCCTGGGTATTGCCTCCCAAAAGTTTCCTGCAGCAAAGAGTAGGAAATGGCACATCAAGGGCTGAGTGAGTGACGGCCAGGAAAGGTTCCCCCATGCACCTTGAGGGTTGATGGATTTTATCATATCTGTTCCAAGATTCAGCAACTCAAAGATGATCAAACTTTTGGATATTTTGCTGACTACTGTTGTGGCACATCCTTTGACATTTGGAATGCAAAGGAAGAGAGGCTTCCAGCACCAGCTTTGATGTTGTTACGGAGATGTTTATGCAGAGATGTCCAAAAGAGATCAAGAAAGACAAGTCAAGGAAGTATGTGGAGGCCAATTCTGTTTGCTTTTATGCTGCCCTTCATCACTGATTCAAGGTCAAGGCATGCTGTCAGCACCAACCATAATTTTTACAGGTCCAGGTCAACACATTCCACCTTAGATGGATGCAGTGTTTGAATGGGTGCATTCTTAGAGAAAACAGAGAACAAGAGTTCATCCACACTTCTGCTTATGCCATGCCTAGAAAGCATGGGTCTGAGTGGTTTTCCCCTTGCCCCACTCCTTCCCAAGGGAAAACCCACTCTCTAGTGATAGATTGGAACCAATGGTGATCCAGGGAAAACCTAAATTGCCATTTGCTCTGACTAAGTGCTAAAGAGTGGGTTTTTTTGGGGGGGAGCAGTGAGAGAAGAGGAAGTGCGGATGAACCCCAGTTCAGAGCTGGAAAAGTTTCTGTCTCTAAACATTCCTTGCATGTGCACCATGCCTTGAAAATATCATGCTAAAATTCCTGCTTAATAGTTTCTGCAACAGACTCAACTCCCTTGCGTTTGATTGCCACCAAATTGGGTGAGAAGAATGGCATATACTGGTTGCTTTACGTGCCTAGATGGAGCTGTGGCATGACAAGGTTGTCACATGTCAAAGGCAACTTTACAGGAAGAAACCTATGCAGATGAGAATCTCTCACATCAGAGCTGGGGAAAATTGAGACAGTGTCCCCTTTGGGGCTGGGGCAGTTTCCTGCTGTGGAATACACTGTGGGATGACCTTCTGGTACAAAGTTTGGGCCCATCTGTTCCCATTTCTCTTTTGGAGAGGATGAAATGTTTACTGTTTCTACAGGCCAACAGCT